TTTTTTTTTTAGCATTTTTTTAGCATTTTTGGTCAATTTATGTCTTTAGGCTGAATGCATTATTAAATGAACATTAGGCTGGCCTATCACTAAAAATATGCAAGATCCGAGAAGAAATATTATATCGGGTTCCCGAGTGTGTTGAGATTCCCAAATGTATCGAGATTCCTGTGAATGGCCAATATTCTCCAAAGTTTTAGAAGTCTTGAAAATTCATTACATATCTGGTGCATTTTTTCTACTATATGATCCAAATTCTACAATCCTATTAATAATTTAAATAACAAGTGAATAAATTTTATAATTTGGTATTTACTAAAGCGTGTTTTGAAACAACAATTAGGTCCTCAAGGTTCCGAGAATATCGACTATTCACGAGAATCTTGTCTCGATTCTATTTATCACGAATTAACAATAAGTATCATATAGTGACAAAAATTGTCGTCGTATGATCGGTAGTGCGACAATGTGAAAGTGTCCATATCAATATCAATAGTGATCGATAACAATTAATTTTTAAGATGTTTTTGACAAAGTCGGCTCATTTAATTCACAAGGCAAGCTGGTTTTCTATTTCACACATTGAAAATTACCGTGAAATTGCTCACTTCCGTTATAAATGTCGAACAGCCGATGCAATAAAAAACAAGCTGACTCGAATTTCAAATAATGCGATTGACGAATACTGACGATGCCAATATGTATGTGATTATAGAATTTATTTCATTTATTTCTTGTTGTGTTTGTCGTAATACAACGATCTTATATCGACGCTGTACGATATTATTAGGACATTAATTAGTACATTAATTAGCACCTGGGCTGACGATGTGTACAACATGAAGCAACAAAATTGTGCAATATGCAGTGAACAAAAATCGAAATACATACTCATTATTTATTTAATTTTAATTTTATTATTCGATGATATCATCTGTCAATGTAAGTAATATAAATGTAAAAAATAATTTTTAAATAAAGAATCGATACAAGATTAGTAAAAATCATCAGTCTAATCATTTGAAAATTAGCTCACTTATTAATCACACATTCTTCTTTGTTAATTTATATTAAATATTATTTATTACATTTCAAATAAAGAGAATGTGAATAAAAATATATGTATAATTTTAATCTTCAATTTAAGAATTTTATTCTTTCTTTAAAAAGCATTAAAAGGAAAAAGCCATTCTCTAATTGATCTCTGTATTAAGAAGATATTCCATTACGTTGCTACATGATTTTTTTCTGCTATAAACTGTAATACCAGATGTTTTTTTTTTTTAAGTAAAATCCATTAGTAATCGCAACTTGATTAAATAGATTTCTGAACACATTTTTTCCGATAAAATTTCAAAATTACATAAAAGCTTTGTTATAACTAAAAGGACAAATAACTTCTGCATACTACTTGTGACAGAATGATCAAAAGCAACAAGATACAAATTACAGATTTTGAAAGATTATGAAAGATAAAATTGGTAAAGGGATTATGAAAAATAAAATTGATATAGAATCCGAAACGAAAGATACGTCTAAAGTTTGATTTCCCTAATTTAGAATTAGCTCTGATGTAAAATTCAACCTTATTAATAACATGACTATTATCTTTTTTACTATATATCGTTTTACATTACAATAAAACATTATTATATTTATTTATTAAAATTATCATTATCATATATATTATTCCTTTGTATTATATAATAGATTTTCTTTTTTAATGCTGAATTATTTACCATGTTATATGCAACATTTATTTCCCAAATCTTTATTCAAATATCATACTGTCATGATAGTTTTACTCAGTCCGTCTGAGCTCAGTCTTACATTTAGGATTACATTAAATTTATTTATAACAACTAAGTAGACTCGCGTCGCTGTCTTCTTCCCAGCTCCGCTATGTGTTAATTCAACGAATACTTATTTATCAGTCGATGGATATTCCGGAAGAAAACTAGCAAACAACCTTGAAATTAATTTTGAAGGTCTAATCTGGATAATCAAACTGTTTTGATAATTTCACTTCATTTGTTCTCGCCAGAAAAATAGAAAAAGGATAAAAATTATCTTTATTGTGAACTATTTCTTATCACCTGTTCTCTGATAACAGTAGAACCTAGATTAACTGATATCTCGACAAATTTCTCAAAGTCGTGTAATATCTCATTCATAATGATTTAACACTTGTCAAGTATCCAAACCATAAGTATTGACTTATTTCAATTCGTTAATTAATGAATTAGCAGTCTTTGATTTTATAATAACACCTGTATTTAGAGATCTTATATTATATTTAAATGTCGTCATATTTTTATTAAAAATTAATTATATCATAAATACTTTTGTCTTTGAAGATTTAGAAAATATTGATAGTAATAGTTATAACTGTTTATACATATTTATAGTTATTACAATTATATAATAGTAATTGTTGCAATTTTATACGGAACTTCTCGTGTTTATCACTTATTTTTAAAATATGTTTGCACATGTAGCAAACTCATGTTTAATGCAAATACTCTTTTTTAATCACTAAGTAACTAAGTGATATAAAAATCAGAAAAACAACAGATATTTGCTTATTTGATCTTCATTTATATTTGCAAGAAATGAAATCAACTTAATTGCATAACACTGATTTATCTTTATTTAGTTTAATTCCTTAATTATAGAAGTTTCTGGTTGTTAACATTCATATGACGAATCATCTAATTACATTAATCAAAATGGATTTTTCAATTAAATATTTTTGTTCCTTTATCAGTGGAACCTTGTTTATATAATCGTTGAAAAAAAACCAATGCATTTATAGTATATAAACACATTTGTTGCTTATCATTCGTTATAATTCATGCACAGTCCATATATTCTATAAATAGTACAAATATGTTTAAAATATGTATTACATTTGTTCCCATTTTTTCACTTTGAAGAGATAAAAAAAAAAGAAGAATGTGATGTAACATAGTAATCTCAATGTGCCTAACATTGTTATTGATTTATTAAAAAACTATCTGGTAAACGAACTAATTTCCAATTTCTGTTTGACTTAATTTTTATCCTTTTTTGACATTTTACAGAAATTAAATTTCTATATTTTTGTACATGATCTAGTTGTAAGAAATCATGTCCTTCTCCCTAAGTTTCTATGGCTATTATTAGTCTCTCAATATTTCAACACTATATACTTTTAAAAATAATTTCTTTACTTTATTTAATCTAGTAAAGGTCAATATTTTATTTGAAATTTATTTTTCTAACTTTATGGCTAGATAAAAGAATTCCAAGGATTTCCTTAATCTTTACTTTCATTGTTTGTTCACTTATATTTCATAATTTTATGAAATTAAAAGAAATTGAAATATTTATGACATTATAATCTTCAATGGATTAAACACGTTCTACAAAGCTCGCTGTGAACTGCCTGCGTCAATATTTTCTTCTTCTCTTATTTATCATTCTATCGTCTGTTTTTTTTTCTTTCCCTTTCTTATTTTTATTATTCTTGTTTCGTTCTTTTTGCAAGCAACAAATGTTGATACTAATAAATTATTAACATTATGAAATAGGGTCGATCTTAAAGGTAAATGGACGAATGGACGATGGATGAATAAACGAGATCGCGGAGTTCACCGCGTGTCAGCTATTAATTTACGCGTGGTAATAAATAAATTGGTAGATAACAGTTGCTCGGTTATCGTACGGAGTCAAAATGGCGACTTCCTTTTGGCCATATGAAAGGGTGGCAAACGCGAAGGTCTCAGACAGATCATCGAACTGGTCGCGCCGATGTATTCTACTAGTCGTTTCACGGAGTTGTGACTGCCGGTACGTACGGTTCTCTCGTCCAGTTTCCAAATCGGTGAACAACAAAATCAGATCTATCAGCTTTGTGTCTCGAATTACAGTTCGTTCGAGTTATCGCTGACTGATTATAGAGTTCGTTGAATACGTTCTTCAATATGCTTCAAGTAGAAATATCTATTAACAGCGATAAAATAACTATTCGAGTCCTTTACAGATTGTGAGAATTATTTTCTTGAATAGAAATTTGATCGAACGTAGTTACGGGGGACAATTTGCACGCAGTTTCCAAAATGGAAGTTGAGCAAATAAATAGAAGTAATTGTTTGTCTTTTAGAGAATTTCAAAGTGAAGTTTGATGTAAGGGATTATAAATATGCCTCGTTTGTGATTAAGCGTGTGTCGTATGCGAGAAAAATAATTAGTGAACTCTTAAGACGATTGATACTTTGTCATGGAAAGGTTCAAGAGGGATCGTGTAAAATGCGAAGAAATCCATCGTGAGTATTTTTCTCGAAACGGTAGGAAAATAAAAATTAAATCGAAAGAAATAAACACATGAACAAAAAATAAAAATTCACGTGTGTATGAAAAAATTTTTCGCATTAACAAGAAAGAGTAATTTCGCATAGATAAAAAGAAGGAAAAAAAAATCTATGCCTCTAAAAGAAATTTCTATATAAACAGAAAGTAAAAATTCATGCGTAAAGATGAAACGTTCATTTAGCCAAAGAATAAAATGTTATACATTCGACGAAAAATAAAGATTTGAGCGTTCTCGAAAAAAATTTTCACATAGGCAAGATGTAAGAATTGCCAAGCGTTAACATCGAGAACACAAAACAAAATTTTCCATCCGCCATACGGACAATCATCCGCTTAGCATAATAAAAATGTGTCTCTGAATTCTGATAGGTCTATACATCTCACAAAATATGTACATCGTAAAAAACACGATTTGCAAATCGTTCATCAAGTTTTCATAACGAATATGACTCATATTAAGTGAAGAATGCAATTGGATGCGATCAATAAACACCTAACTAGAATTTGTTATTCAAATCTTGCAAGGCCTGCGCGAAGAATATGTTACGTATAATGTACAAAAGTCGACGAAACCTTGGTGACAATTTTGAAACGCATTTCACATGTCTGTCTGTCCAACAATATGACAGTAGTAACTTCAGTGTAAGGCAATGCCATTGTTAAATAATCAATGTGCAAATGTAATTGCTATTTTACGTAAACTCGCAATCAATAGTCGTTAAAAAAATAAGGCGTAGGTAATTCTGTTCACTAACACGTGCTGCAAAAATCGATTTGCCATTAGCTGATTGCTTAAAATTAATAAAAAAAGCTACCAAGAAATGTATCTGAGATTTATTTATAAGTGTAATTCAATTAAAACGATGTTCATTCTTAGAAGGAGTATAATCATCTTATTAAATGGTCATAAACCTTCATCGTGATAAATGGCTGTCATATCTTAGCATATTTACATTTTTTCTATAATCAAATTCGTAATTTTCGTAAACTAAATTGTACAAAAAAAGATTATTTATACGTTTATGTAAAATGGGAAATACAATACATAAAATATATGACATACATGTAGGTACATATATTCAGAACTGAACAAAAATGTTGATCCATCATTTATCAGTTATAAAAATAATCCACTAAAACTATTGGCAACCATTGAAAAGTGTATGTTTTAAGTTTTGTTACTAATTGTAGAATATATTTCTTCCCTTTATTTTGTGCGTTCTTCATTTACAATGCTGTTTTAGAGCTTCTGTCTTCTTAATTAATAATTGACTTGATGATTTCAATTACAATTGATCATGAATTATGAATTACGAGACCATAATGCAGAAATGTCTCACTTAAACAAGGCTACAAACAAAATATATACAAACTATAAAGAAAATTAAGAAACCTAAGAAAGATCTATTACAATTATACTGAGAACAAAAGTCTATAATAATAGGATGCCTAGTAATTGTAAAAATAAATCAAAAGAGTGAATAAAATTGTTTCATTCAAAGCTTTGTTTTTAAGAAAATCAATACTATTAATTAGGAAGATATTATTTTTATTAATTCAAGGATTAGAAATGATTTTGCATACATAATTATGTTCTACTTAATTAAATTTCTACGTACGTTTTCTAATAATTTTAATTACGCTGTAACAATTCTTTTTTTCAATTTTTTAACATTCGATTTGGTGTCATCACTGACAACATGATCCCACAAATAAAAGTCTAGTGATAATAAAAAAAGTCTAGGTCCGGAAATTGCAATGATCAATGCATTTTTCTGTCACAGCCAATCTTACACTGATACTTCTCATTTCAATAATTTCTCATTGCACAATTATTTTTGAGGTAATAAAAGATCAAACACTTTTTTTTATTTTATCGTCATTGTCGTCATTTGAGTTATTTAGAATTCTTAACTGTTACTAGGAATAAATATTCTTAAGAAAGGAAACATTTTTTTAGTTAAGTAAAGTTTAGTTTGTTTTTTTAAGAAAGTCAAATTCGAAAATCTGTTCACCAAACGTGCCTTTAATTAAATTTGAATCATGAGTCATATATTCACAAATATGTTGAGACTTGATTAAATGCACGCGTACTGAATTTTTTGAACTCGATTTTCTCAAAAAGGTTTAAATGAAAAAGTTTTATTCCTTCTTTTCTACTTGTTTTCTTTGCATCGATGCCGTTTGTATCATCTAGCCTAAATATCAGACACCATATGGTGGTCCATTGTGGGAAGTTACTTAAATATTTGTTCGAATTGTGATGACGTAAAAACTCTGAATGATATCAAACTAACAAATGAATGATATCAAAAAAACTAATAATTGGTGAGAATTTTTTTTCAGGGTCATTTTTTTTTTAAATTTTTCTAGATCATGTTGATGTTTTTTTTCCTATAACTATATTTTTTTTTTAATTATATCGTATAGCTGATGAAAAAATGCATTCAAATATGTGAAGAACATGACCTTGAAAATTCAAATTTTACATATAAATTTAGCGCATATAAATTTATCACATAAATTACATAATACAAATATGGGAGAAGTTTCACCCGTAACATTTATCTTTACATTGAGATCTTCACAGAACAGATTGAGTATTCCATTATGAATTACTGACAAATTTAGATACACTACTCAGGATTTCAAACTACTAGAAAAGATTATCATTCATGATATAATAAATAGTAAACATCTTTATTTACATTTATTGTAAATATGTAAGGCTCTCGACTGTCACGTCTTAGCCAAGGTTTATGATCCCGATAGAGGTAAATTTATACGTAAAACTTAAATTTTCAGTCATATTCTTTACATATCTGAACGTATTTTTTACCAGCTATACGATATAATAACAAAAATGTATAGTTATATAAAAAAAAAAGCATCAACCTTGAAAAATTCTTGAAAAAAAAGACCTTAAAAAAATATTTTTACCAGTTATTAATCTTTTGGATATCATGCATGTTAGGCAAAAATATTTTTTACATCATCGTAATTCGGAAAGATATTTAGGTGGCCAGACGTAAATGGACCATCCTGTACATAACATAAAAAATTTTTGAAAAATTCTATTTCAAATACAAAAACGAAAGATCATAATTCCAACTTGCAGGAGCCGGTACAGAGCATGGCCAACGCGAAAGTTACGTCGTCGCGCCGTATTAAAAAACGGCGAGTGCAACGTACTGCAGTCCCGAATTTCCAGACGTTCTCTACGTTTCCTACGGGACATATTCACGACCCTGGTGGACACGCAATGGCGATGGATGTTGCTGTGCTTCAGCCTAAGCTTCGTGCTCTCCTGGTTGGGTTTCGCGGTGATCTGGTGGCTGATCGCGTTCAGTCACGGTGATTTCGAGAAGGACCACTTACCACCGTATCAGATCGAGAACAACTGGACACCGTGCATCAACAATATCTTCTCCTTCACGAGTTGCTTCCTATTCAGCATCGAGACGCAGCACACGATCGGTTATGGAAGTCGTGGCACCACCGAGGAATGTCCCGAAGCGATCTTTGTCATGTGCATCCAGAGCATCGTCGGTGTGATGATCCAAGCGTTCATGGTGGGAATAGTGTTCGCAAAGATGAGCAGGCCGAAGCAGAGAACTCAGACGTTACTCTTTTCACGAAACGCCGTGATTTGTCAGAGAGACGGCGAACTCTGTTTAATGTTCCGCGTCGGTGATATGAGGAAAAGTCACATAATAGGAGCGGCTATTAGGGCGCAGTTGATAAGGTCCAGGACCACCAAGGAAGGCGAAGTGTTGTCGCAAAATCAACAGGAGTTGGCCGTAGGCACCGACGGGCAGAATGGAAATCTATTCTTTATCTGGCCCACTACGATCGTTCACAGAATCAACGCGGAATCTCCGTTTTACAATATGTCCGCCGAGGATATGCTGACGGAGAGATTCGAGATCGTGGCTATCCTCGAGGGTACGATAGAATCGACGGGACAAACTACCCAGGCTAGATCTAGTTATTTGCCCCAGGAAATTCTCTGGGGGCACAGGTTCGAGCCGATGGTCACGTACTCGAAGGAGAGACAGGGTTACGAAGTGGATTACTCCTTGTTCAACAGCACCGCGCAAGTCGGAACACCTCTGTGCTCCGGCAAAGAACTCGCGGAATTTTATAAGGTGCAGGAAGAGCTTCGTCATGGGAACGGTAAGTGGTTCGGACGTTTTTAGAGAATGAATATAAATAGTTGGAATTAGAATTTTTTTTTTTCTTCATCATTCAATTTTAGTTTTCTTATGTTCTTTTTTCGTAGGATAAGTTTTATGTAAAAGAACGAATTAAATATATGTATATATTTAGATTTACAATTAGCGGCGGACTAGTTAGTTGTATTAGCGATTTTTAAACTAAATCTCATGTTCATTTTCTATACACGGTATGATAAATATAATGAGAATCTCAAGTGATATTTATTGTCAGTCAAAAGTGTATTAGATCATTGTTTGTATTCATCATTTGCTTATATTCATCATTTATTTAATAAGAAAGAAAATATTTAAACCTTCATACATGTTAAATTAAGAGTTATAACAAAAGATTGGACGTTATTTTTTATCTTGTTTTTTTTCATTTTATGGTTTTCTTTTTCAATGAATATTAGGAGTAAAATTATTAGTTTTGATTAATCACTAGTTTTACGTAATTAGTATTTTACTCAAGGGAAAAGTTAATGAAAATCATATTTCGGGAAAAATAAAAAAAAAATTTTATTTTATGTACAATGAAGAACATGATTGAATCAATAACGATGAAATCAATCATGATGAATATAATCATGAAAAAAATTTATTAATCTTTTTAAAGATGTTTAAATTTTTATAATTTTCGAGGGAAAAAGTTTTCTTATTTTTTAACCCAATATAAAATTATCTTTGAATGAAAATTATCTTTGATACCGGAAGATTCACTTTGGCACCTGTGAAAACGAATCAAGTGGATTTTTATATGATTTTTTTTTAAATTTACAACATTTAAATTATTTCATTGTTATTGGTGTTATTGTTATTCAATTGTACTCTTCACTGTATTAATATATTTTATTTTTTATTAATCTCATTACTTTCTTATCACATGTATTGCATGGAGTTGGAAAAAAGTCTCCTGAAAAGAATGCAATTGGTTATGTCAGATAGATATTAATACAATCATACAAATATTAACTGAAAATATCTAAACAGTAAAATAAGATCATAAGAT